AAAAAAAAAAAAAAAAAAACCTCTCAATACCACATTCCCTTCTAGCTCCTGCATAATCTCTGCTTTGTTGTAGGAAGCAGGTTTTTCAAGAGTTGTCCTTTTTTTTTTTTTTTAAGGTTTTATTCATTTATTTGACAGAGAGAGACAGCAAGAGAGGGAACACAAGCAGGGGGAGTGGGAGAGGGAGAAGCAGGCTTCCTGCGGAGCAGGGAGCCTGACCTGAGATGGAGGAAGACGCTTATGGACTGAGCCACCCAGGCGCCCAAATAGTTGTCTTTACTTATCCCTACTTCCTTTCCATTCTTTCTTGAACCCTCTCCAAAGCTGCCTCACTGCCAGATGTCTTCCACATTGTTAAACCTAGTAGTCAATTCTGTTTTTTCATTCCTTGAAATAGCATTGTAGATAATGGATCATTTCCTCCTTAAAACATATTTTTCAGCTGGCTTTCTGGACTTCCCTCCTGAGTCTGGCCTTCATTTCAGGCCCCCTTGACTGTTTCCTTCCCACTTCCCTTCATATTGTGAGGATGTCCTGTTTTCTACCTGTTTATACCTCTGATGGTCTTATCCAGTCTTGAGGCTTCAAATACCACTGGTATGCTGAGGACTTTACTTTTAGGGCTACAGTTTGATAAATGTTGAAAATGTATACACCCTTGTAACCACTACTACAATCAAAACAGTATTTTCACTTTTCCAGAAAGTTTCTTCATGTCTCTACAGTTCATCTCCACCCCACCTCATTCCCCCAAGCCCTGGGCAACCACCTATCTACTCTGTCACTACATGTTAAACTTTTAGACTTTTGTATAAATGGAATTACACAGTATTCTATTCATACACTTGCCTTTGTGTCCGGATTTTTTTGCTCAACATAATAGGGTTTTTTGGAGCCTCAATCATGTTGTAGCATGTTATCAGTAGTTTACTCCTTTTTTTGCCGAGTAGCATTCCATTATGTGGGTGTGCTACCGTTACTTATTCTGTTCACCTGTTGATAAACATTAAGTTGTTTCCAGTTCTTGGCTGTTGTAAATATAGCTGCTATAGACATTCTTCTACAAGGCTTTTGTATATTCAAGTTTTCATTTATCTTGGGTAAAAACCTAGGAGTGGAGTAGTTGAGTTTTGTGTTATGTTTAAGTTAATAAGACACTGTGGGACTTTTATTTTTTTAAAAAGATTTTATTTATTTGACAGAGAGAGACACAGCGAGAGAGGGAACACAAGCAGGGGGAGTGGGAGAGGGAGAAGCAGGCTTCCCG